CGGCGACGGCGAAGCGGACCCCGGCGCCGCGTTTGGGCCGTCCGCCCCCCTCGTGTGCTGCAGCGCCGCCGAGGACCCGCCGGTGGTGAAGAACCGCCCGATGTCTTTTGCTCTGCCTCCCTGCCGCGCGTCCACCGCTGTCCAGTTTCCCGCGAGGCTCAGCGGCGCGTGTGTCACGTGCTGCACGCGCAGCCCGCGTTGCACCGTCGCGACCATCATGCTGCCGATGATGAGGAACAGCACCAGCGACAGGAAACCCGGCACGACGAGCGGGTACAGCGTGATGATCGGCAGGAATTCCAGAAGCATGATGCTGACGAAGAGGTGCATGCGCCACACCTGGCGCTTGTGCCGCATGCTCTGCCGGTTCTGCTCGTGCTTGGGGGGCAGCGGGGGCGCAACGGCCTTGAAGTACCGCAGGAACTCCTCCAGGTCGCTCACGCCAGCGAAGTTGTGGCTCTTGATCGGCGGCATCTTCCGTTCCGTCACGGGCACCTCCCACGAGAAGGTCAGCACCGGTTCGGCGTTCCACACCTTGTAGCCGTAGACAGAGGCGCAGCGCAGACTCTGCAGGTCCGTCTCAGCGACCGTCGGGCTAATCACACCGTTGTACACCGTCAGCAGCCGGCGGTCCGTCAGCGCATACAGACGCGTGGTGCTGCTCATCGTCGTCATGAGGAGGCACGTGAAGACGACAAGCAGCAGGAACCCCAGCACGCCCATCGTTGTGGGGCCTAAGAGGCGGACCAGCACATAGCTCGGGTCCTTGATCGTCGACGCGACGAACATCCACACCCCGAGCGCCACCCCTGCAGTGAGGTCTATGTAGAGCCAGGTGTCGTAAGAGATCACACTCGACACGTCCGGCTTCTCACACCACAGAACGTACTCGTCGCGGCCCAGTGTCTGCTTCAGCACCTTGCGGAAATGCTGATCGAGGTAGTCCATGCTGAGTAGCTGCGCAGTCTCGCCCTTCTTCTGGCGTATCTCCTCCGGCGAGAGGGAGCTCGCTGCCAAGAAGAAGGCCCCAGCACCACTTTGTTGTTGCTGCGATTGCAGTGGTGGTGTTGGCAGCTGCTGTGAAACAGGCGACATGGTGGGGACGGTGCCCACGTCTCTGAGCGACGGCATCACGGCGAGCAGCGGACGGCCATGGAGCTGCACTGCGAGTTCAAGGTAGAGTGTTGTTCGTGCCGCCTCCACGTGCACCCTCGACGCACGCCCGAGATATACATATGCCCCAAAGGCGGTGTACGCAATGTAAGCACTAAGGAGGATATAGGCGAAGAAGCCATCAGCGAACCACGGCTTCAGTGAGACAGAGAAGAGCATCACGAAGCTCATGAGCGCGCTGGAAACGCCAATGAATAGCGGCATGAAACCGAACCGCGCAATGTTGCACCAGAAGCACACGCGCCCCGGCCCGAGTGGCACTGGTTGTGCCATTTTACATATTGGGCAGTTCCTCGGCACACGCGACTGTTGCTGTTGTTGCTGTTGTTGCTGCTGCTGCTGCTGCTGCTGCTCATTGCTATCGGACGACAAAGTCATAGCAGCTGCTTCCATCTGAATGGCGTGTTCATTTTCTGCTACCAGTGCCGGTGATAATGGTGATGCATCCTTCCCGTGCACAAGGTAACTCAGTCGCGGCTCGTACCTCCACGGCAGCTGCCTTACTGTGTGCAGCCAAAAGTAGAAGCACAAGTCGATGACGACCAATATGCACGCGAGTACAATAAAGAGGATGGCCGATGGGCGGCAGATGTAGATATTGTTTGTTGTGTGCGCGGCGGTGCAGGCCATGTCTGGGCACACCGGGTTGAGTGTCGCGTGACGCAGATCCGCCAAGCAGCTGTCACTTGCCCTCGGTGCGGTGGCGTTGAAGCTGATGCAGCTGTGCGTGGCGGGGCACCACGCGCAGTCGAGCAGCGGGCTCAAGATACCGTCGGACGCGTCAAACACGCACTCCGCACAGCGCCTCAGCGAGGCACACGGGTCAACTGCAGCAGCAGCAGCAGCAGGAGCAGCGGCTGCTGTATCCACCACACCACCACAGCCAAGAACAGCCACCACCACCACCACCAGCAGCAGATGCGGATTCAACATCCACCAGCGACGGTGCGGCATCGCGACGCGCGTCAATCTCCACCTTGAGCTCGTGGTGTGCTGCTGCTCTGCTCGCACACGACACAGAAAGGCCAGAGCCACACGCACGCAGACCCCTACGCCTCAGCTGTCCGCTTTATCACTTCCACACAAATTCCTTTTGCCGAAAGCACCCCTCTTCCCCTCTTTTGTTTTGTTTTTNCGCCTCAGAGTAGCGTTCCGCTTCGGTCGCGTATCTATTATTTTATACGCCCCTTTAATAATCCACAAACCGCCCCTTGTTGCTACTGTTACCTTTGAAAGCCCTCTCGCTGCCGCGACACCAGCACGCTTCCTTCAATCCCCTTTCTTTTTCTTGTTGTTGTTGTTGTTTTCTGGTTTGTTTTTCTCCTTCTCTCCTTGTGTATCTGTCTGTCTGTCTGTGTGTGTGTGTGTGGGGGGGGGGGCTTCTGGGTGTACACGCTGCGGGGGATGGAGGGCGACTCTGCAACCCGCCGACCACACAGTTAGAGACAGAGAGACAGAGAGATGGCGGCAAAGACAGACAGAACTATATATATATATATATATATAT